TTTAATTTATATAATATAAAGCTTTACTATATAGTAAATATAAACTTATCTCTCTTAAAGAAAAGCTCTATTTTAATTAGCTTTTATTTTAGCTTATATAGTAGTATTAGTTATATACTTAAATAAAGAAAGTATAAGAAATTATTTAGTATAGTAAGTACTAATTTAAAGAATATAATATACTACTATATTAATTTATAAATTAGTTATACCTAGTTATTAATAGTTTCCTAGAGAGTAGCTACTTTAGCCTCTACTTTAGCTTAAGTACTTAGTAGTATTATATTACTAGCTAATAGTAAGTTACTCTTTATAAAGTTTAAAAAGTATTTATTTATTATAGTAAAATAAAGTTTATAGTATATTAAGAACTAGCTTTATAAGCTACTATATATAAGTATTACTAGTATTAACTATAAACTTAAGAAGAGAAAAGAAGGAAAGAAGAAGCTCTCTATTCTCTCTTTTCTACTTATTATATATATATAAAGTTAATATATATTTAAAGCGTATTTAATAAGGCACTAATATAGTGCTTTATACCTACTTAAGCCTACAGCTTAAGTCTATTACAAAGCCCTCTTTTACACTTTACTAGCATAATAGCATAAACTGTAGGAGTCTGTTTCTTTCTTAATTGTCTGCAGACTTTAGAGGAGGTAATATAGATCCTGTCTAATTTTAAGTCTAATATAGATAGCTAAAGTAGTAGAACTTAATGTCCTGCACTTAGAGCAAGACCAGCATTCTAATTACTAGCCTCCTTTAATCTCTATAACTATAGGGTCTGTAGTTAACCTTAGACCCTATCTAAGAGAAGACGTCAGTAAGCAATTGCAAGCCTAACTTCAAGGTACATTAATGGCTAACACGAGCCTACGGAGCTCAAAGCAGGATATTTGCTTACTGCAGGAGCGAGATAGCTGTCAGAAGGCATTCAGAGACACCAACCAGCGGATAATATTCTGCCCCTAGATACTTGCCTTGGCTCGTCGCCAACTAGCTAAGAACGTGACAACAAGCGCTAGATAACTATAAATCCCAGCCAGACAGCAAGCTAACTTGATAAACCCTGTGAAGAAATTAAAAAGTGGCCATCTTGTCATTGTAGCTCCAGGGAAGCTTACAATCTTTGCTATCTCCTAGTTAAAAGGCAATTTGCTGCGGAACAAGAGGACGGCGAGTCTGACGAAAAGCTCGTGAAACAACGCAAGCGTCACCGAGAAGCGTTGTTCACGGCAAGGCTCGCAGAATCGAAAAGAACGTTTCTTAAGGAAGAGCAAAACAAAAAGAAGCCACAAAGCGTCTGCTGCAAACACATGAAAGCCTACCCGTTCTGGTGTTGCGAGCCACAAGGCATGGCCACTTGGCCATCCGGTCCTGAGGTTGCCCAGAGAGGATGGCACTGCGATGTCCAGCTACAATTTACCAGTGACTCGCGGGACATCTTGTCCCACCACTTCGGCATCACTATGTCAGACTCGGAATCGGACGGATCCGATGAGGGACGTGGAAGAGTTCCCAACAGGGGTGTGAGCTCAACTTATATCACCATGGGCAGGGCGACTCAACCTGCTTGCAGCAGGAAGCGAGGCGGATTTGGTTTCACGGATGCTTTGGCGCTGACCAGCCAGCTCCAGCGAACTTGAATAATGCCGTTCTACTTCGTACCCAGGCCGGGATCAACAGCACCTAACTCAACGTGTCATGCAGCCACTTCCACTTTAAGATGAATGACTGGCGGCGCGATGCATTTGCCTCTTAACTACCGCCAACAACAGTATTCTTGCACTTTCCCGCACGATGTGATTCTGATTAAGCCTCTTCTTACCACAATATACGACATTATTGCTGGGCTTGCGCCTGAAGTTTGCGAAAAAGTATTGCCTTTGACCTTTTTTGAAATATGCTCCGCTAAACTAACCAGGCAGCAGTCCGAGAGCGAACAACACTATATCTCAGAACGCCGCCTCTTTTTTCCCCCGCGGATATGAGGAATGAAAAAGACGCGACGGCCTGGTGCTAATGTTCACGTACTAGGTTTCATGCAGGACGCGGGCCGACAAATCTGCGGCCACTGCATCAGGTGAGGCTGTGGCTTGAACAGATATTGGCTCGAGTTGAGCCTGCTCGGTCACGGCAAATGCCCATGGATATTCAGATGCACCTTCTTTTCGCCGCTTTGTTTCTCTTTAGCTTCGTGTCCCCCCGCCCCCCTCCCCCTCAGGCCGGTTTGCATATGACCCGCTGATCACTGAGCGGGTGCGAGTCTTCTTCTTGGTTTTTGGTCATATAACGTGAGCAAGCGCATCATCAATCCGGCCGGGAGGATAACACCAAGACTTCTAGTACCATCCCAAGCATCAAATTCCCCCAGTAGGCTAATTCTATTTCTTCCCTCTTGAAGACTGGTATAGCTGACTGGTAGCATTGCAAGCTATGTGCAAAGCATTGATCCCTCGAGAGAAGAAGCTGTGCCAGCACGTAATTGACGAGCCTGCAATCATCACGCTGTTCCCCGCAAACTGTGGTCAATGTGGAAGAATTCAGAGGACCGAATATCTTGGATCTACTACAGATAAATACCCCTGCGGTGATTGCATTGCTAGCCGACTATATGTTAAGAACGTAGTTGGACAGTGGGTCAGGTCGAGATGAAGGGTTTGGCCCGGAACACGCGTGCCAATGAATGTGTGGTGACACTCACAGCTTCGACAATGACGGTTGTCGACAATGACGGTTGAGGTAAGGCTGATAATCTAAAAGGGCAGCATAGTCATTAATCTAGCACGTAAAGAGCTTTTGAAGGACGCCATTTTGAACCAGCATCTCGCACTCGTGCTTCCTGGATCTGATATCAGAGGCGCTTGCCTGCTGCTCGATGACTTCGCTTGAATAATGATCCAAGCCGGCCATACGTCCCGACAGCTGAGCGATAGACTCATACCGACCATGCCAGCAGTTCTCAATGACATCATCGTATTTGTCTTTGCCCAGAACCGGAAACTCCATATCCTGGAGCTTACCCTGACGAATCGGGCCATGGTCAGGCCCCCACCACTCGTCCTCATAGGGATCATGGCCGCGCGTTAAGGCATAGATGACTGATCCTATGGCAAATTGCTCTGTTCGATAACCAGCGGTGCCGTAGGTTCCGCAATTCGAGCCACCCTCATCCCCTAGTAACCGAGCAAAGGGTTCGGTCAGAGATGGTACGGTGTCTCCGATCTTACGCGTATGGTCAAAGTCTGCAAGCTTGGTGTCCCGCGCGTCAGACAGCAACATGTTGGCTGGCCGAATATCGCAGTGTGTAAAACCCAGCTGCTCGAGCCAAGCTGCTGCCGCTGCAAGCTGCCGCGTCCACCGGAGACAGTCTTCCGCCGTCTGCAACTTCTCTACTCGAATTACTCTTTGCGTCGACTCGTCTTTCACTTGTTCGTCGTTAAGGACGGTTCCTAGATTCCCACCCGACATAAACTCCAGGAATATTGCGTCCTTGGTGTCGTGAAAGTGCTGGATAATGTATGGCGATAGCGGTTGGCGTTTCAGTATTGCAAAGATTTTCTGTTCGTCAGCAATATAGTCGCTTCGGCCAGGACGGCTCTTTTTCACGACGATGGCGTCGCTAAGCTTGAATACCAATCCGGTGCTACCCAAGCTGAGCAATTGAGGTTCTTTGAGATAGTGTGCACTCTTCTGCGTGGACCCGAAACTGCGCAGCACGTTGTAAAAGCTCCAGGCAGGCTGGAATACAAGCGACTTGAGGGTCGCAACCCAAGAGGCCACAGCCTTTAGCCATGCTGCCAAGCTGCTCCGCTGCAGCATGGACGCGGCTGATGAAAAGTCACATATCGGGTTGGAAAAGAGTTTGCGCTGGAAAGTTTGGCTGATTCAGGCCGTCAAGATGTACGCCTAAATGGGGAGATTTGTTTTGATTAACTTTGGCTCAGAAGGGTTGGGATGAAGGGGGCTGGCGAAAGTTGGCGAGAACAGCGGAAAAATACTAGGACCGATGCGTCAATTGCTCGGGGCGCTTGTTAGATTTATTGCAGTCACTTGGCTGGGTCGGATAGTAAAGTGTACTTTAGGGCTTGTACTGCCTATAATATATACCTAAGTATTCTATACTTTATATACTATATAAGTATATAATATATATAGTTCTAATGGGTTATAAGCTTACAGCTACTAAAATAAAGCTCTTTAAGTAAGTAACTATTAAACTATTTTATTTTTCTATAAACTAACTTTATTTTAAGATAAATAAGCTTAAAACTAAGACTTCTAAAATAAATAGTCATATAACCTCTAATAGTTCTCTATAAGTCGTCATTCCAACAAGCCCGAAATCAGCAACTTTTGCTACAAGACCGTTTGGTGACTGGCTGTCTAGATAGAGGGGAATATTTTCTGGCTTTGGGTCTGCATGCACAATGTCGTGATGATGAAGAGCCGCCATGCCGTCTGCAATGTCCGCGATCAAGGCAGCACTTGTCTCAAATGGTAGTTGCTTCGGCCGAAACATGTTTCGAGCCCCGTCGAAGAAATGTCGCATGTCTGGATACTGCTCATGTGCGAGTTCAACGGCGATACCTGGGCGAACAACCGAGGCTGAAGCCTCCAAGCATGTGGTGAGGTCGTCGTCTTTGCTGCAACATACGGCAAGCAGGCTCGGGATGTTTTGTTTGCGCAGCGACGGCTTCGACATCAACTGAAGCTCAAAGTTTAGACTGTAAAAGGCCCGACGGTATGCCTGCCCAGTGTAGCTCTTGTGCACGTATTTGACCTCAACCTTTTGACCTTTCCAACTGGCCTTATGGACTTCCATTGTAGCGCCGCCCTCGATTGGCTTGCCGGCCTGTCCATCCGGCGTGTCGAATTGGATTTCATCGATCGACGCTATGGGAACTCTTTTCGGCCTACCACTCTGAGAAATCCAAGCTCAAGATCCTCCAAGTGTACGTCTCCCGGAGTGTAATATCGTGCACTTGTTTTCTGTCCTGTCGGGGTATTTGTCTCCAAACGACTATTGTTAGAGCTCGACGCAAACATTGTGTAGCCCTGTTGATACGCTCGCTGCGATAGCAGTTTGTGCCTATGGCAGTGTTGGCCGGGCACACTTGTTTGAATTTCTTACGGAGCGATTTGATCGTTTCCCGAGAAGCAGAAGACAATAGAGCCCATCAAGCCCAGTGATGCCTGATGCCCAGCCCTGTTTGAGCCGCGATACCCAATGACATATCACGTGCCAATACTGCCTGATGGTGTGAAGAACTTGCTGACCGCTGTAATCATAATTCTTATTCGCCTTCATCCTATATCTTGCCGGTATGCTGACCGGCCACTATAAGTCAGTAATTTGACTGTAAGGTCGTGATACCTTGAATGGACTCCTCCACATACCATGGCCGACTCGTCGCTCAAGACTGAACTCAACAAGTCATTGGACGGCCGCTTCAAAAGGTTAATAGACTATGAGTCTGTCGCAGTTCTCCCAATCTACTGGAAAGGTTGTACAGACAGAGGCTACAAGGAGGAAGCACAACAAGTCGGCCAGCTGTTTCGTGACGATTTTGGGTATTCCGTGGAATACTGAGAAATCCCCGCCGCCGGCACATGTGAGCTGGACCTAGGTACGAGAATTAATGCCTTTTTGGTGGACAACCGGTGACGTGAGACCCTGCTTACTATCCACTACGGCGGCCATGGCAACCCAGATGATGACCATGGATAGATGCACGAATCCGTGTGGTGCGCGTGAGTACCAATCATCTAGCGCTGATCGGGGATGCCATTACCTGACCTCAAGCTGCGTAGGGAACCCAGCGATGACACCCCCTCCTTGTAGTGGTCCAACATCCAAAAGAAAATGGAGCTGCACACGTCGCGAGACAGGTAAGGTGATGAAAGAAAGAAATTAAATAACTATTAACTATAGTGTAGAATCCTAATCGCACAGCCTCACACCAGCACACTAAGCTCCAGCTGCCAAGGATAGGATGTTAGGCACTTAGAGGGAATAGCCTCTAAGCAGGACAGTTAGTTCACAGAAATGAGGCTTGTAGGTGCAGGGTAGAATGCATCATGGGGCTTCAGGTGAGTAGAAAAACGTTACAATCTGTAGGTCATGTAGTGTCAAGGCCCTTGAGGGGTGATCCCTCTGGGCGAAAGTACATTACATTGCCTTATCCAAATCGACGGCATTACGTCTTGACGACTGTTTGCTTTGATGTCGACATCGCAATGTGGCCCCGTCTCGGTTCAAGCGCCAGGCTCTCTCAGCATAATCAGTCGGACCTGGCGACCTTGGAAACTTTAGCAGCTCGTTAATGGCTGCTATGGTTGTTGAGTTATTCGATGTTGAAGTTGAGTGAATGAGGCGGTGTAAATCCGGCAGACCACCAGATCCGGCGCATCACCGTAAAAATCCCCTTGTAGATACCGTGACTACCAACGCTCCCCCTTTTTCGTACCTTGAATAAGAGAGATAAGACTTGAATTGACTTATGATACCCCGTTGCAGTACTGCATCACCTTTCCCTTTGACGAACTAACAGCAAGTTTTAAAAGACTAACGTGGAAGACATTAGAGAAATTTCAGATAAAAGGTCCTTAGGAGCTCTCCATCTCAATGCAACCCATCTCAGGCTAAGAATGCAAGCCAAGCTACCTGTTAAGACCTGGCCCGTTGCGCACAAGGTCCCTTGCCGGTTGTCCCCGTTTCAGTTTGGCCAGTAGATGTGCTGTCCGGGTTGTAGCCTGGGTTAAGTTTCGCCGTTTCTGGAACGGTAGCGCCATTGTTACAATCTACCATCTCCAACCAGGGTCCCTCAAGGCATTGTTTTGTGGTCTGCTGCGGATTGCAAGCTTGAACTTTTCGCCTAGCCCCCGCTACACAGGCCTCTTTACTTCTTCCTTCCAAAGACTCAATCATACAATTCATATCCTGGGTAAAATCTTTCTGGCCAGCTTGCTTGTCGGAGCAATACTTCCTCAAATGGTTATCAAATACATAGCCGCTCTTATACTTCTGTGCTTCGTCTTGCCGTTGGAAAACGTGACGGTGAGCAGACGGCATGGCCAAGACCGATTCGGCCAGAAAGAGGCTAACGAGCACGGCGTTCTTCATGATGGAAGTACTTGATATTCAAGATAATAGGCAAAATTGAAAAATTGTGTAAAGTAGCGAGCTGAAGAGTCTTGGGTAGTACTAGTAGTTGGTGAGTGGTAAAGGCCATGGGCATATAGCATGATCTTATAGTTCTCTTGGTCCTTGATCTGTCCGTCGCTTCCCTCACTTCATGCGCAGTTGCGTCTACAACTCCAGGTACGGAGCAGCCTTGAGTAATGCTCTTGCTTATGGATGGGGAAGAACAAAAGCGCACCCAAGGCTACATGACACAATAGAGCACTCCAACGTGGGTAAGCAGAACTCGTACGAAGTTGGCATTGATGTCTGGAAATGAAAATATAAACCCTAAATATTTTGCTACCAGGGTGTCATGCGTCCTGACGGCAGCAATGCATAATCCCACTGGAGGGACGTGAAGACATAATATTAGGTGCGGGTGCTGACCTGATACTAGCTCCACTTTATTTGCTCACCTAAGACCAGCTCTACTTACTTACATTATATAGGCAAGTTACAAAATATACGCTAGCTAATTAGAGGCTTGTAAAGTATAGAGCTAGTCTTAGGTTAGCTATTACAATAGAGCTAGTCTCGCATAAGCAGCTTGACCTAATATTATGCTATGTACCGCCACATCGCATTGCGTGGCGTAGCTTTTATGTGCCACAACCAACGAGTCAAGTAGGTGGATACAATATCTTGTCGCAGCAAAATAGCTAGATAATGCATAGTACAAAGATTATATCTGCCTAGGTTATAGTAGTATTCGAAACATGTGTCGAGATAACTCCTCCCACCCAAGGCATTTCTATTCAGCATTGTTCCGTTGTCTCGACCTACCTGCACCCACATCGTTTGAGTCATGATTTCTATCAAGGGGCTCTACGGTAATGACTCGTCATAGAGGTATAAAGATAAATATATATATACATACTTATGGACAGCCCCAATTAACTACTCTATGTGCAGCAGCGCATGTACGGCCGTGGACGTAGGTGCTCGAACAGTGTCTCGGTGAACGATGGCCCGGTAAGTAAATCTACCGGGTTGAATTTAAACACGGTGTCTTTCAGGGGCAATACTAATACTGTCTCTGGAACCTCGACCACGCGGCCATTGAAGTATCGGGCCTCCAGGCCCACAAGCAGAAGACTGATGTGTACCCACTGGTAGCCGGTGCGCTGCCTCGTAGGCTTTCTGGTGCTGGCTTTGGAGTTCTGCATGGCTTGGCTGGCCGCAGATGCAACTGCTCCGACGGTGGTTGCATCGGAGCATGTAATCGCGCTCGTGCATCGGCTCTGTTGAGGACCGACACAGTATTCGGAAGAGTTAGGGTTATAGTAGTAGCTGCTATATACTGCTAACTAAGAATAGTATATATACTGCTTAAACTACTTATAAAGTAATTAGAAATTAAAACTAAAAACTAATTTTAATAAAATACTACTAAGCTGCCTGCCTAGTTGCTCTTACTCTTACTCTTGCCTCTGCTCTTGCTCTTGCTATTATTATTGTTATTATTGCTATTGCTACTGCTGCTGCTATAATAATAATAATTATTATTATTATTACTATAACTACTGCTACTACTACTATTATTATTATTATTATTATTATAATTATTGCTATTGCCTCTGCTTCTACCTCTAAGCTTCTCTCTCTCTCTCTCTCTTTCTAAGAATAAAAAGAATAATAATAAAAATAAAGATAAAAATAAAGTTAAGAATAAAGATAAAGACATAAAAATAGTATAAACTACTTACTAAATAATTATAAACTAGTTAAGAACTAATTCTAGCTAATAGAATTTACTTAGTATATTACTAAATAATATACTTTTTGCTATATAGCTACTATACTATAAAGATAGCTTTTTTATAATTACTAAGATATACTATATAGTAAGTTTCTAGAGGCTAAATATAGCTTATAATATTTATATATTTATTTTATATAGTAAGTTAATTAAAATTAAAATTAAATTAAAAATAATTTATATTAATAGCTATAAAATACTCTCTCTTTTATTTTAACTAGTTTTATAAAGTTTAGAAATATTTTTATTAGTTTAGTTAGTTTAATTAGTTTATTTTTATTTTTATTTTTTTTTTATTTTTCTTTTGTTTTTTTTATTTTTTTAACTTTACTTTTTTTAACCTTACTTTTTTTAACTTTACTTTTTTACTTAGCTTTTTTACTTAGCTTTTTTATTTTATTTCTTAAATTAATTACTCAAGTTATTTTATAAATAAATTAAAGATATATTTTCTTAAGATATATTTAGTAAAGAAATTATAAATTATTTATTATCTTAGCTTAATTTAGTCTTAAAATAGTTTAAAAGTAATTTATATATATTTATTATAGTAATATTTAGTAGTTATATTTAATATATTTATTACTTTAAATAGCTATAAAGCTATATAATTAGTACTTAAGCTAGCTACTTTATAAAGGCTGCTTATTTCTATATATATATATAGTTATTACTAGCCTTACTAGCTATAGTTAAATTCTATAGTATATAGTTAAAAATATATATATAAGTATTAAGCTTTAACTACTTTTTAGTATTAATATTTTTTATATTATGTAATAGACTTAAGCTGTAGGCTTAAGTAGGTATAAGGCACTATATTAGTGCTTTATTAAGTACGCTTTAAATATACATTAAACCTATATATATATAATAGAAG